CTGCCCCAGCCTGGTGCGGCACATGTGCTCAGCTCCCTGCTGGGGGCCATGGCCAGGGCCACCTCCCATGAGATGGACCCAGGGCACTGGGTGCTCCTGCCAAGGACCCAAGACCTAGATCCTGGTGGCCATATTTGAACTGCCTGCAAGTCCCAGTGGGCCAGGCGAGACTGCCAGTGGCAAGGGGAAAACATGCGCTAAAACCCAAGCTGGGTGCTGGAAGCAGGCCAAATAAGAGTTTAATCTTTGGTTGGTCTGTTTTGATATCTCACACTGTGCCTCCAGACATTAACCCTGTGCAAGCCAGGGCTTCCGAGGGAGGGGATGCAGACTGACCCATGCAAATGAAGTGGGATGGACAAAGAGAGAGAGAATGTGTTCAATGATGAAACGTGAAAAGGGGAATGTTTGTTTGCTTCACCTTCAGCCTGGTTTACAGCGGTCTCTCTGCCACATCAGAAGGCTCTCTGCTCTTTGATTGCGTCCCACTGCAAAGCTGACCATGCTGGAGGCTTCATTTTTTTCTCTGAAGCTGCAGGCCACGGGTGCAAAACTGAGCTAGAGAGGTCCCAGGGCTGAGTCAGGATTTTATTTTTGTTGTTTCTTTAGAAATACCTCACCCAAGCTCTTTTGGAAAAGAAAAGGGGAACTTAAAAAAGCAGTACCACTTGGTTCCCCTCCTGCCACAATCTATATTTATTGACATTGACATTTTTAAAGGGCTCTTGGGAGGGAGGCTGTGTGGTCTCTGGGGTCACTTTCCCTAAAAAATCAGAGGATTTAGCTGATGTTTATGTCACTGTTAGCATTTGGTTCCTAGATTTATGCTTCCAGAGAAATGCCAAAGCTGGCTTGGACAAGTCAAATTCAATGGGCCAAGAGTGACACTTCCTAAACCTTTTATAAAAAGAGCTACACTATATATTATGAACAGCAAGGTCTATTGACATAAGATTCTCCATGCATTTATAGGTGTAACTGCATAGGTGAAATACCAGTTTAATTGGTTATCCATATAATTGTGTATACCATCTTCCTCACTGACTTACTAATGCAGTAAAAACTTTTCTTTTGGGAGGTGTGGGTGCAGACATCTGGAATGCAGATTGTAATAGATCTCTAGTTGCAATGTTATCTCTAGAAAAACTACTATTTTTTGAACATGAAGGAACACACAGTTTTCATATAGCTTTGCGGTCACATCTGGAAGAAGTGCCCCTCCTGATGTTTTGAGACAGCAATGAGAAGAGATCCCATCAGCTGGGGGAAGGATTACTTCTTCCTCTAAGATAGGAGGCTGGACTTCTTTTGAATTATTTGGCATTCGGTCAGGAGATAAAAATACACTGGCTAGATGAACCAGTGACCTCTTCTATGTCACAATAGCTGTGGTAGACGGGTGGGCAGGAAGAGCCTGCAACTACACATCTTCTCCATGTTCTCATCAAGAAAGCTTTAATCATTAATGGAGATGCAAGACAAGGCTGGAGTCATCTTGTTGAGGATGGCCCCAGAGGGAAGGCTCTCTCTTACATTTTAAATTATAGCACCCTGTCCTACTCCAATGTCTCAGAGCCCCAGGTACCTGTGCAGCATCACTGAGACTGACCTTGCTGAGACCCAAGTCAGACATCTTTAGCTTTCCCACACAGCTTGGAACAATCTGTCGTGCAAACCCAGCTAACCCCTTTGCAAACCACATTTAAATGCTCTTTGTTTCACTTGCCAACAGGCACCCATTGAACACACAAGCTGTGCTTCAGGAGCAAGGAGCAGAAAAGCATCACTCCAAGAGGCTACCAGGCAATACTGGGATAAAATGTGCCATCGTAGGACCAACATCTTCTCCATTATACATCTTTTTTGGTAGCATCGGAATGAGATCTTTGTTTGAATGCACAGGAGTGGCACGGCTTCAGCAGTTACACAGCTATTTGGTGTGCTCTGGGAAAAGGGGACGTCAACAGATTGCAAAATGGGAAAGTCTCTCTGGACGCTGCAAACAAACAACATGTTACATAATTGGGCCTTTTGGGAAATGGAGGAAGGTCTCCAGGAGATCATGGCCCTCCCAGCGCTTTCTAATTTTACTGGGACTTACCAGCAAGCCAGCCCTCTAATAATAGGGGCTTGTACACAGTTTTCTTTCATCCTCATGCCCCCCTGCACTGCCCTACCTTTGTTGTTAGTGCCCCAGAAAAACATATCTTACTTAATTTTATCAGATTGATACAGCCTAGAATGGCAGAGCTGAAGAGGCACTAAAGACTTTTAGAAAGGGCAGCAAAGCCATCTCTTGGCCACCAGAGCATGGGAAAACCTGAAGTTTTAGAACTTTATTGAATCAAATGTGCTAGGGAATTGCACCATTCTACGTAGCTGTGATTTAGCTGAAGCACAGCACTACAGGCAATAACACAGCAAACAGGCTTTAGCTCTATAATCCACATATTGTGCTAGCGCATCTTCTTTATTCCCATTAGAGCAAATTCTTCCAAGGGAGGATGCCTGTAAGCAGCACCTCAGCTTCAGGACCACACCGCCTTTGTGCTGCAGGGCTGTCCTAAACAGGTGCCCAGGCAAACGTGGACCTGCAGGAAATCTTCTGCAAGTCAGATTGTACCATCCAACACCTGAACATGGACTGTAGCAGCTAAGTTTCAGATGAATACCTCCTGCCTTTCAGGCACATGAATAGATTGCAATTTGTACAGTCAGTTTCATCCTTCTCCCAGAAAAATAAGGTATGTGCATGTCCTCTCCCACCTGAATGGAGCAAACCCCTTGGTCAACATATGGCCCTGCAGCCACCACCTCCTCCCACCCCATTCCCCAAGCCATCATCTGTACCAAGCTGCGAACTCCTAAAGTGGTGCTTCCCATGTACCGTCCCTCCCTAGGTTTCCAGGGAGAGATAGTTTAAAGGCGATAGAGATATGATGGCAATGCCCTGGCATCTGGACAGAAAAAACACACTCGGGTCTTTAAGAAAGCGGTTTTCCCCCATTTCTTGCTTGCTGTACACACGCTGACAGCCAGTAAGAAAAGGAAGGAGGAGGCTTGTCGCCGTGGGGAGGGCACACCAGCTCGCCGCGGGAGGCCAGGCAGCAGCTCTGACAGGATGTGGTCAGCTCGTTTCCAGCACACCCCTTGGTTACTGGGCTATTGGCAAAAGTCATCAGTGAACAGCTTAGTGGAGGAAAGGCTACCAGCAGAGGCAGCAGGCACAGCACAGCGGGCCCCAGCGCAATGCCGGGGAGAAAGCACCGCCGTCCCACTGCAAAACCCCACATCACAGACTGAGCACCAACAGGCAGCGTGGACACAGGTGACACTACCTGTCTTTGATGAAAGACGGCACAGAGATCCCGGCCAGAGTGATGGATCCAAGACAAGGGGGAAGCTGAAGCCCCTCTGAGCTTAGTCTCAGAGCCTGTGGCCATGTGTTTGGCCTGCCATGTAAACATGTCACATCCCATGGGAACTGAGATCAAACGTCAAAGTCTTCCTGCCAGTAGCCCAGTTTTGCTAGTGCTGAGTGACCTGGTTAAAAAGTAAAGAGCCTTTGGGGGATATCCTTATAGCCTAGTTCATTGCATCTTGGCAGACAACTCCCTGCTTCTCCCAAAATGAAAAAAAAAAAAAAAAAAAAAATCAAATAACTGCATTCCTCTCTACTATAGTTATCATTCAGGAGCCAGGAACAAAGGCATATCGTGTGCTCTCGACCCTTGTGTGAGCAACATGCATGTTCTGGCCTCCAGATGGCTGGAGCTGTGAAGTTCTTGCTCAGTTTTTCCTGAGAAGTCAAAACCCCAACTGGTCTAATACTCTGCCTGAGAACTACAAATCACTTTTTTCTTTCCCCCTACTTCAAGAAGTTTTATGATTCCCCTGTTTGCTCCATTCTGCCTGTGCACATGGAGCAGATACAAGTAACAGACAGAATGTAAGGCCCACTCTCAGCACTCATCATGGGTCTGTCTCAGTTCCTAAGAGAGCAGTTGTATGATATGCAACACCCAAGCCAACATTTAGCTCTCTCTTGACACAGCAGTGCCCTTTATCAGTGACTGCTCCAAGTTCTACGCAGTGGTTTTGTGCGACAGAGTCTACTGTTGGCAGGGACTTATCTACAGACAGAGACTTCACTGTAGGAAGAGCCTGAGGCTGGAACAGCACAATTCCCAACCCTCGTTCCTCCCAGAGCCCCAACTGGGCAAGGAAATGTCTTCATGACATACCCAAGGATAGATGTTTTCTACCATGATTTACTGGGCTAATTTATATTCTCCATATAATGTAATAAGCAAGGCTACAGCACTAATAATTTTTCTATCATCCACCTAGCAACACTTAGGAGTAGCCTCCAATAGCTTTCAGCCTCTTTTTTATTTGCAAGCAGCCAAATGTGGATGCAGTTGCATCCTAACCACGAGGCTTCTCCGCACGACAATACTGTTTCAGGACATGCATTGGACCCAGGCCTGCAGCCTTTAGAAGAGGAGGAGGTGAAGTGACCTTCACCAAAGCCCTGAACAGAGCATCAGTGGAACAGGTTGTGGCCCAGTCCCGGATGACCTGACCCTCAACAGGCAAGGGGAAGTAGGTACCACAATTCATACACTCAGTTTAGGCCCTTCGCAAGACAGGTCCTTGTGACTGGGTGGTAACAGCCAGCTTGGTTTTGTTCTCTGCTCCACTCTAGAGCTGAGGCTATATAGATCTTGCTCAGCGCATGGGTGGGGTGCAGGAGGCTGGGCTCTCAAATCAGTCCCACCTCCCTGCTGCTAGAAGGGTGGAGTGCCCCTAAGCAGGCATCACTCTCTGGTCTGTTAGCAAGGCAGGAACGCAGCACTTCAGGCTCCCCAAAGCACGTAAGGCCATTCATGGATTACTGCAACGCGCTGGCACCCAAACGCCTCCAGTGCAGCTCTGGGAGCCACTTGCATTTAATTTCAGGAGAACCAGAGACTGTAAGTAACAAATAAAACCTTCACTTACACAATCTCATCATTCTGGAACTCCAGCTCCCCGCAGGTATCTTCAAAGTCCTCTCCTCCACCTTTGGCTGAGCCTTCAATGGTTTTGTAGGGCACAATAACATTTCCTCGTGCACCAGAGGTTCGCAACACTTTCACTTCCATGGTCCCCACACTTTCACTGACATGCGTTACTGGCTCCTCAAAGGTGAAGATGCCAGCGTGGTCATCATCAAAGATGGTGACGGTGGCAGTAGATGGTGATCCCAGGCAGGCAAGTGTTGAGACACGACTGGCCTCAAGAATGCCCTCATCTGAGGCCTCAGCGCTCACACGGACGTTGCTAAGATGGACCAGGAAGTTCTCATCCTCCTCAAATATGTCATCATCAATTATGCCAACTCGTATTTCCTTCTGGGTCTCTCCAGGCTTGAAGACCACTGTCCCTTCAGTGAACTCATAGTCAGAGCCGGCATTGGCTGTCCCATCCTCTGTCCGGAAGTCAATGTACACCGTGTTGGTCAAGTCACCTCCCCGGCGAATGATGGTTAGGGCAACAGTGCCACAGTTCTCCAGACATTGGTAGGTACCCTGCTCAAAGTAGAGCTTGCTGATGGGATCATTTTCTGCCACCTCACTGTTGACCTCATGCATGCTGACGGCTTTGCGGGCCTGGTCTGCAGCATGTCTCTTCAAGATGTTGCCAGCTCCCGTCATGAGCCGAGTGGCCTGAATGCGGTAAAAAGCCCTGCTCTTCTGCTGCTGGCTCAGGACCTGGTAGTTGGCCAACTCTATAAGCTGTTCAATTTCCTTGTCGGGGTGCTTTTGTTTCAGCTCCTTCAGGATTCGAGCCATTTCCCTCCTGGCTTCCTCATCATCCTGGTCTTTCTCATCCACCTCCAACACCAGTGTCCCATCCAAAAAGTTCTCCACATGAGAATTAGCAACCTTTCCGTCCATCTCGATATCAGCTTTGGAGGAGGGCCGGTCACCCTCATGCTCAATGATCATGCCTCTCTGCTTGCCAGCTCGGTATTTCTTGTAGACATACTTGTAAAATAAAAGCCTCCTGTCAGCTATCCAGGCAAATACCACACATATGGGGAAGAAGAAGAAGGTGAGCAAACCTTCCCAAACCTCCACAATCCCAGGAGAAGACACAGATAAAATAATGTAAAGCCAAGTGTAGGCAAAGATGCTCCAGGCTGCTGTAACAAAAAACACTCGCAAGTGCTTGATCTTCCTTATCTCTCCATCTGGAACAACGTAAACACAGATCGCAATGATGACAAACATGTTAAACGCAGCACTCCCCACAATTGTGCTTGGCCCCAAGTCCCCTGCTGTGAAGCCATGGCCACACACTTCGATAACAGATAGGAGGATCTCGGGGGCAGACGAGCCCAAGGCCATCAGCGTGAGATTAGAAACGGTCTCGTTCCAGATCCTCACCGTGGTTTTGCTGGTCTCGCCGTTGGGCTTCTTGATGGTTATTTCCCTCTCTTGGGATGTAATAACTTCGATGGAGGACATGAAGCGGTCAGCTATGATAGATACTCCCAGGAACATGTACACCATTGCTACAAAATACACTGTTGCCCGAGCGATTTTGTCACCGAATGAGGGGTCCTGGGGTTCCCATATTGGTAAAATCACACCCTTTTTGCAGATGTATGAGCCAGTGCACTCCTCGGTGTCGTTCACAGGCAACTCGCTGGGGCTCTCTGCATGTATGCCGTGCACATGGAAGAGCAACACCAGCACAACACTCAGGAGTTGGAAGCTCACTGGGAAGGTGGGTGGTTGAGTTGCTCGCGACATGGCCACTTCCACCGAAGAGGTCCCAAACGTCCTCAATCTGCAGAAACAAAAGGAAAGATGCATTAAGTGAGGCCGACAAGAAATAACAGATTTTCCTCTACACCTTTATTTCCCATCGTTCCCAAACATATAATCAAGTTACCCTGTTACTCAAGAAGACCCATCTAATGAGCCCATTTGTGTTATGATTAGTGCAGTTTTCCATGTACAAATTACTTGTTCAGTTATCTGAACAAAGATGGATTCAGATGCTACTAGTGGACTAGCACCTACCCCCTTTAGCTATTTTGATGCTTAATGCCACTTTCCTTCTCTTCGCTGAAAGCCTATTTCTTCAATTGCATTTTCTTGTTTCTCATCTAATTAAAGCCCATCATTCTGCTTCACAGGTGGCAGAAGTGTTTCCCATTTCAAAAGTACAGTGCACTCACTCACTGGAGTTTGGGGTAAGAGCAGGAGAGGACAGGGAAATCTACTATCCCCCCATCATTTAAAAAAAATATTTTTATACTTGCCATTTTTAATCACTGTAAACTACGTATTTCACAGCCTTTTCTTCCTCACAGTCCTCCCAAGCATCTACTCCACATCAGAAATCTGCACGAAGTGAGCTCAAACCCTGGCAAAACCTTGTTCTTGACAGTAACTTGGTCAGAAGGTGCACCAGAAGGGCAGTCTTTAATTAATGATTTTGGAGCCATTCCTTCCACAGCGCATCACTTTGCACCTTCCCAAAACTGGAAAGAGCCCCATATGCATCCAAGCCTGGCTCTCTTGGCATGCTTTGAGAGGAAACCTGTCCCCGCGCTCTTTTCCCACTAGGTCAGCTTTGACGGCTTCCCCTTCAAGGGCCTTTCTCACTCCATTTACAGTCATCAGTCATCAGGCATGACAGCAGTACTTGCCCTTGTCCTGCCTCAGGATTTTCCAGCAGTGTAGAGGAGCTGTTAAAGAGGTTTGCAGTTAGTTAACAGTGCATAAACCGACAGAACAGATGCCTTTAAGTACATAGAGATGCTTAGTGCAAAAACCTGAGCATGCTCAGTGTTACATTCTCAATTTTACTAGCCAATAAAAGCCAGATTCCTAGTTATTAAAGCTATATTTTCTCCTCAAGGAGAGCCTTTGCCATACTATGCTTCTCCATTCCAAGTTAATTTAATTGCACAGTACTTAAAAATGTTTCTATGAAGAGAGGAAAATGAGTACGTCAATACCTTTACTTTGCTGGAGAATACAAAAGGCTGAACTTGTTTTGCTCATAAAAAAACACACCCCAGAAAGGAAAAAAAAAAAAAGAGTCCAGCCATGAAAGGTTTCAACTTCTAAGAGAAGGATGGTATTCCCAGGCCCGTATCAGAGATGGGACACAAGCAGGAGATCCAGTCAACCCCTCCCGAAGTCTAGCCTCCGCAACGCCTGGCAGGTCTCACCCTACCATTTGCCATCTGCCGGGTCTCCAGCAAACACAACGCCAGGTCTGACAGCTGCACAGCTGCATGGGCTGGGAGACACAGACCAACCCATCCATGCTAAAGGCTGCATTCAGTGACAGCATCCCAGCTGTCACCTGGGCCCAGTCATAGCGAGCGTGACCCAAGCAGGATGGCTAAGCACACCTTCCCTCTTCCTCCTGAAAGAGGGCTTGTTTCAACAGCACAGCTGGGAACCAGGCTGGCTCTCCAGCCACACAGCAGGCTACACATGCTGCGTTGCTGACTGGAAAAGTCCAGCAAAAAAAACTGGGGAGAAACATTTACTCTCCTAAACAGGAACACACCAATGCTTCCTTGAAGAAAAGCACCTGGTCACCACCACCCATCTCCCTATCCCCCATGACACAGAAAGCACCCCTCCTCATTAGGGCAGGGACATATTACGCAGGGACAGGGCTGCGCGCAAGTGAAGAACTGGCTGGAGGAAGCAATGGGTACCATCCTGCATCGACGTTACAGGATATACTCCACAAAAGGAACACACCAATGCTTCCTTGAAGAAAAGCACCTGGTCACCACCACCCATCTCCCTATCCCCCATGACACAGAAAGCACCCCTCCTCATTAGGGCAGGGACATATTACGCAGGGACAGGGCTGCGCGCAAGTGAAGAACTGGCTGGAGGAAGCAATGGGTACCATCCTGCATCGACGTTACAGGATATACTCCACAAAAAACTATTGTAATGATGGATCAAAGCCCTCTCCTCCATTTGCTTTTATTTAAGGATGCTGTAGTAGGATTATGGGGCTAGAAGAATAATACTGAGAATTTATCACGACAGTTTTATATAAATGGCATTTCCCCACCAGGAACTGTTGGTCTGCCCCCCCCCAGTTTTCTAATTAAGAAAAGAAAAAGAGACACAGAGCAGGAAATGAGCAAGTCAGAGAGCTGGGTGATAAGAACAGATAAGATGAACAAGAAAAAGCAAGTCTCCTGTATGAAGAAAGATTTAAAAGAAAGGAGTTGTTTGCGTTGGAAATCCTGCTAATGCTACAAAAAGCTCTTACTGCTGGAGTCAGAAGCCCTGAACATTGCTCCCCTGATCACAGTCCCTGGGTACCTTCTGCTTCCCAGCATGCAGGCTGTAGCCTCTGCTTACAAATCTGAGGTAAAAAATTGAAAACATGATGTTTGTAAAGAAAGTACCTTGTTGCAGGCCATTTGGCGGATAGCTAAGTTGAAACAGATGCGTGTTCATGGTCATTGAAGTTTAGCTGAACCATAAATTAGTCACCCATTACTTGTACTCCTGTGTTTCACACTGCTCCAAACCAAGTCTTAGAGACATTTGATAAAGGGGCTGTCAAAACATAGGCTGACTTGGTATCAACTCTGTTTATCCCAGATAGCTCCTAAGTGTAGTTTTGGGTTTTTTTTAAAATATGTAGGCTTAAAAAAAATTTTGTGGGGGCATAAAATATTACTCGGCTGCATGGTTCTTCACCCTTTCTTTCTAAAGGGTAGTCATTTCAACTGAAAACTCAAGAGCATCCACCTGCCCTTGTTCAGTTAATTTTCTCCCTGTGGCAAGTCATATCCTTGCACATGTACAATTATTCAGAGCAACCAGGCATTGTGAAATCCCCTTGGCAAGAAGAGGAAACAGATGGTTCTAGAGAAAATATTATGCTTTGGGTCACTGATTTAGGTCATAAAGAATAGGAGAGTCCCATCACACTTTGGACCAACTCTACAGTCTTAAAAGGATTTGAGCACTGGAAGTCTCAGCCAGAAAAAAGACGCCCACTAAATCAGATTAATAAGTCACTTGAACTTTGTTTGCCACGTTCTTCCCTTTCAAACATTCTAATATAAGTTGGTTTTGGTTTGTTGTTTGGTTTTGGTCTGTTTTTTTTTTTTTTTTTTTTTTTTAAATCAAGTCCCATATTACGTTAAACAGGAGGAAAAAAGGCCCAGAATTTTGCACCTGAGCAATCCATATTTCTGGTCTTCCCATCCAGCTCTCCATGTACAAACAACATTTTTCCTTCAGACGGCAGGAGATAAGAAACATAGAACTTTTCTGGGGAGTTCAGATGGGTGGGAAAGGCTTTGGAAGAAAAACCCACCAGCCTTGGCAATGTGCCAGGACCCTTCTTTGAGCAGCAGTAGCATCCCCCAACTCTACGTTGGACTTTCTCCAGCATTTTGTGGTGCGGTCATTTAGCAAGATTCACATACCCTCACCAGCTTTCCTACTTAAACCAATTCACAATGAGTGTTATTAACACCAGATTCAGGAATTATGGAGGGCTAGAAAATGCTTGGCCACAACATGCTGGTTACACACACACACAATCAGAGCCTGACACTCAAAATATCTCTGAGAAGCAGCTGCTATAAAATTAGCAGCATTTCTTTATGTGTACAATCCAAAATAAACAGCTTGGTCCCCAGAGACCCTTTTACTCTGCATTTGCATAGGGTCTCGGCCCATGGTCAGCACACTGCTGCAGGCGCAGCGGTAGGAATATTCCCAGACAAATCATTCATATTATTCTCTAACGAGAAGCAAGGCTACCAGAACACCAGCCCTCCCTCCAAACCCAACTTTGTTAGCTTTTCATTAAGCTGTCTCAATTGCATTTCCCATCCCAGCCATCAACAATAAAAGCAAATGCAGTAGCTGATTCACAGCATGCCAGGTTAGAAGCCCCGGCAAACCTTGCCTGCTGCGGCGCTCGCGGCCTCGGTGTCACTCCCGCAACACCTCTCGGGTCAGATTTATCATGGCAGCACCGGGCAGGGGCGCAAGCTGCTCTCGAGCTCAGTGCTGGCCATACAAGTGTGGTAAAGAACCACAAACCACCACTCCAGGCCAGCACAACCCTGCCCATAAGCACTACCCCATGCCCAGGGGCAGCACCCAGAGCCCTGTTTTAGCACCGAGGGAGCGGAGCTGTCCTGGGGCTCCCTGGAACTGGCTGCCTGAGAGCTTTTCGGTAGAGGTGGAGCTAACCAGGAGAGCTAGATCCCAACTCGGGCTCTCCTGAAGTCGCAGCTGTGCCCCTTCCCTTTGCGGACAAGCTCCCCCAGGGCGCTAGCAGTTGTTTTTGCACAGTCATGGAGGAAAGTCTGCAAGAAGCTGCATGGCCCCTTCGAGGCAAGCTCAGTTTAGATGCAGCTCGCAGCCACGGGATGTTGGTCCAGCCTTTATTCCAACCCTTGGTGTTGCGAAACAGAAGGAGGGCAATTGCTGCCCACAGCAGGGCTAGGAGGGTTGCAGAGATATTTGCCTCTCTGCTGGACATGGAGCTCTAGGTTTTACAAATTGGTAGGAGAGAGCTCCTGCTGCCAGCTCGTGCTCCAGCCCCCCAGCTCAGGAGCTGCCAGATGGGGAGAAAACAGCCTTTTAGACTCTGCTCTGACCTTTCCCTGGCAGCAACGCTCCTTCAGGCTGGCTGGTTGCTGCATGCAAAGCGAGCCTGAAAGCTGCTCTGCGTTTCAACAAAGCACAGCTTTTCCTTTGCAGCAACCTCCCTAAAGTCCCATCTCCAT